TAGTTGTTATGTGTTCTTGTTGGTTCTCAGTCCACAGAACTTCCTTTAGGATGTTTTTCATAGCAGGGTTGGCTTTGGCAAAATCCCTTAGCTTCTGCTTATTCTGGAATGTTTTGATTACACCATCGTATTTGATTGACAGTTTTGCTAGGTAGAGGATTCTTGGGTGGCAGTGTTTCTTTCAAGGTTTTATATATGTCTCCCCATTGCCTTCTTGCCTGCATGGTTTCTGTTGAGAAATCCAAGCTTAGTCTGATTTGCTTGCCTTTGTATGTTATAGTTCTCTTTTCCCTAGCTGCTTTCAAGATTCTGTCCTTATCTTTGATTTTGGAGAGCTTGATTATTCTATGTCTTGGTGATTGTCTTTTAGTGTCTATCCATCCTGGGGTTCATTGAATCTTTTCACTTTTCAGGATGTTAAGACAATTTTCTTCCAGAAGCTCTTCAACTATCTCCTCTGTGGGCTTGTGTGATTGTTCCTGTTCTGGAATGCCAATAATTCTTATGTTATTCCTCTTCATGTTATCCAACATGAATCTTAGGCCTTCTTCAGATTTTTTTATCCTTTTTCATGTTTGTTCTTCTATTTTAGTAGTATTGAGAGATTTATCTTCTAGCTCACTAGTTCTGGCTTCTATCTCTTCAGTTCTACTCCTTTGCCTTTTCAGTGTATTGTCCATTTTTGATATTCTATTATTAATCATTTAGACCTCTTTCTGTAGGTTTTGAATTGTTTCCAATGATGTATTTATATTCTTTGATTGTTCCTGTAGCGCTTTCCTGACTTCTTCCTTATTTTTCTCAACTCCATTGTATAGTGTTTTGATACATTTTATAAACATTTTTTGAATTCCTTCTCAGCCATTTCCAAAGCCTGCCCATCTTCCAGCATGAAGTGTAGGTCTCCTTCCAGCTCATTTGCCTCAGTCACTTTATCTCGTTTCTGGACATGTGCAGATATGGTCATCTGCTTCTGGTTTTTGGGCATCTTCAGGGGTTATCTGTGGCCTTGATACTTAGATGGGTGTGTGTTTTGGTACTTTGGTAGATGTGATCAGGAAATGGGCTTCCCTTTTCACTCTTCTTCTTGAGAAATTTCAAGATTCCACTGTTGTTCGTTTTGACATAACTTAGGATTTAATTTTTGGCCTATTTCCTTTTTTGTCTGCTTTTCCCACTCCACAATCCCCGTTCAGGCCTTGTTTCTAGTTGTAAACAGTTCAGGGCTGGCTGTGGCTGTTTAGTTTTCATTGGAAACTGTCTCTTTAAATTTCAAGGAGTTCTGTGAACATGCAGAGTAGAACCCTCCGAGGGTGGGCCTGGGGTGCCCACAGCTCAGGCACCCCTATAGTCACCAGAATGGAGGTGCACAGACAGCAAGGGACCAATGAACAGCTACCAAAAGAGAAGAATGTCCACACCTTTATCTCAGTGGTTCTGCCAGGTGTCTGTGGCTGCTCCGATCCTTCCCCTGCTTGGTCTCACCCAAGATGGTGGCTCCTGGAGCAGCTGAGCGTCCTGGACTAGAAAGCAATGGATTTTTTGCTTCTGCCACAAATTCCCCCAGCTATAAGCGTTCCACCCTTTTAAATATTCCTTTATATGTGATTCAGAGTTCTCGAACCACCCCCTGAGCCTGCTTGGTCAGATATTCTGTGTTATTGCTGGCAGAGCTCTTTACTGCACTTCCACCCGATCCGCCATCTTGTTTGTTACTTCATTGGTGTATTTTTTAAATCTCACAGTTACTTGGTTCTGTATTTGCACACGCATGTAAAAGCAAAGAGAAGGTACTGGAAAGATATGTAGGTGATAGTGGCTACTTCCAGCATGGGAGAAAAAAAGGCGATTTCCACAAAATACTAGACCTTTTTGTGACTGCATTTTCATGCATTAACCCACTTTCTACGTGCTTTGCCACCCATTCCCTTCCTTTAGAGGTATTTCTGTGAACATTCTCCGTGTATGAAAAAAGTTCCTTGAGAAATGGACTAAGTGGCAAACAAGTGAAGCAGACACATGTTAGTTGCATAAAATTGTGGAAGTAATGTTAATAGTGCAGTCAGTTCTGGTGTGGCGCCGTGGGTTAATGCACTGGACTGCAAAGTGGGTTTGCTCCTAAAGGTTGGCGGTTCAAGCTCACCAGTCGCTCCATGGAATATAGGGTTGCTGTGGGTCGGAAACAACTCAATGGCACTTAACAACAACAACAGTGTTAATAGTAATAAGAATATCTTGATGTTAAGGATGCACTATGGGTTAGGCACTGGGCTGCTAACCACAAGTTCTGTGGTTCAAATCATCAGCAGCCCTGAGGAAGAAAGGTAAGACCTGTCCCTGGAAATGCTGTTTAGGATCACTATGAGTCAGAACTCATATGATGACGGTGGAGGTAGGGGCACAATGGTTAAGCACTTGGCTGCTAATCAAAAGGTCAGCGGTTTGAACCTACCAGTCAATGTGTGGGGGAAAGATGAGGCAATCTGTTTCCTTAAAGATTCACTTGGAACCCTGACCCTACAGGGTTGCTGTGAGGCAGAACATAGTAACAGCAACAACATCCTAATATTAGGGACACCAGTAACAGTTACATGTCTTTAGGGTTTCAGTGAACCAGGCACTTGTGACATGGATACTGACGTGGTCCCCACTTCACCAATGAGGACCTCCATCACAGCGCTTAGGAGTTTGGGCTCAGGAGCCAGATGGGCCTGGATTCACTCCTGGCGCTGCCATTTCCCAGCTGTGTGGGGCAACTTATTTAAGCTCTCAGTGCCTCAGTTTCCTCATCAGTAACAAGAATAATAAAACCTGCCTCGCAGCATCTAAAAATCAATTCTCACTGAGCTGACTCCAAGGCAAGGCAAGCCATGCACGTTAGGGTAGAATGGTGCTCCAGAGAATTTTCAGCCACCCATATTTTGGAACCAGAACGCCAGACCTCTCTTCCAATGTGTCTCTGGGTGGACTTGCACCTCCAACTTTTTGGTTAGCAGCTGAGTGCTGAAACTGTTTGCACTTCCCAGGGACTCACCGGGTCGTATGTCATTATTACTAGTCCTATTTGGACTCAAGGTGTGGTACTGTAGGATCAGCACTGAACTGCAAACCACAAGGTTGGCAGTTTAAACCCACCAGCTGCTCCTCAGAAACGCTATACGGGGTTACTATAAGTCAGAACCGACTTGATGGCACTTAACAACAACAACTAATCTAATTTAGGTTGTATTTTTACACAAGGAGGTTGCATTTATAGGTGATCTCAATTAAAGACCCATTTTTTAAATGGGAGTTAAAAGTCTGCGGCTGCTTGCCTGTTCTGCCATGTTCCCACTTCACTTTCCTCCTTGGGGTGGTCTCACCTCCCTTGTTGGGTGGGGGCAGGGTTAGCAGGAACGAGGGAAGGGCACTAACTCCTAATATGCACTGTTATGTTTTCGTCTGTTTTTTCGCTATTGTTGAGATTATACACAGCTACACATAAGCCAGTTCAACACTTTCCACCCTCACAGTTCAGTGGCCTCCATGACATTCTTCAAATTGTGCCTCCATCCTCACCCTCCTTTCCTGAGTCCGTCCTCCTTCGGCAACATGAGCTCACTGCCCTCCCTGGGTTCTGGGTTGCTGTGATCACTTTGATCCAATTCCAGTGGCTCTCAAAAGAGCATGCTGCTGAAGGCTGACCTTTTTTTTAACTACTTGAGCTAAACTATGGAATTGTTTGATTTTTAAGAAGACTTCAGGAGATAGTTTTCATTTAAGATGTAAATATCTCTCAGGGCAATGGTTTTGGGGGTTCATCCAGCCTCTGTGGCTCCAGAAAGCCTGAATTCCATGAGAAGGCATTATTATTTTGTATTGCTGTCCTCATTTGAGGGGAATGCCCTAGCAGCCTCCCATGCCTCCCCCAGAACCACTGTTCTATCTTCAATCTGTCTACTCAGCCAACCCCTCCCCATCTCTCTGGCCTCGAGGGCAGGCCTTGAAGGTTTGTCTCCTTCCCACCCCGCAGTCGGTGGGCTCCATCTATAGTGGCCTGATGCAAGGTGTGGGGGCCGCCGAGAAGGTGTTTGAGTTCATCGATCGGAAGCCGACCATGGTGCACAATGGGAGCCTGGCCCCCGACCACCTGGAGGGCCGAGTGGACTTTGAAAATGTGACCTTCAGCTATCGCACTCGACCCCACACGCAGGTCCTGAAGGTGAGCCTGCCGGAACAAATTTCATATGTTTCCATGATGTGTCAGGCACTGATGTCCTGGCTAGGAACCAGTAAGGTCAGGTTTCTCCTCGTGGTGGTGGTAATGTAAGCTGTAGGTGGAGAAAAACAGGACCACTGCCATCAAGTTCATTTTGACTCAGTGACCCCATAGAACAGAGTAGAACTGCTCTTTTTTACGGGAGCAAATCGTCTCATCTTTCTCCCTGAGAATGGCTGGTGAGTTTGAACTGTTAACCTTGTGGTTAGCTGTCCAACACTAACCCACAGTGCCGCCGTGAGGAAGGTGGATAGTTAACAGAATGGTTCCAAATCAAAGGTGTAGGAAGCAAATCCATCGGGGGGCTGTGACAGGGAATGTCTATGAGGTGGAGGACAGTCCTGCCCAATCTCAGGGTCCAAGCAGAAGAGGATTGTTGGGCCCAGCAATGCTCAGCCAAGGCAGAGAGCAGGGGGGTGGGCTGGGAAGAGCGTCCTGTCTCACTGACTTGTACCACCAGCCCCACATCATGCCTCTGTGTTCTTACAGAATGTCTCCTTCAGCCTGGCCCCAGGCAAGGTGACCGCCCTGGTGGGGCCGTCTGGCAGCGGGAAGAGTTCCTGTGTCAGCATCTTGGCGAATTTTTACCCGCTGGAGGACGGGCAAGTGCTGCTGGATGGGCAGCCCATCAGCGCCTATGAGCACAAGTACCTACACCGTATGGTATGTGATGGACCCCCGTTGCCCTCGCTCTGTTTAACCTCCTTTCTCTCAGGAGGCAGAACTGGTGCAGAGAGAAGCACCCAAGCAAGAAAGAGAATATTCCAGAAGTCCTTCCTATGCCTCTTCTCTTCCCTCAGAGGCAACGTCTTAACCTTTATTTCTTTTTTAATGCATTAATTTTAGTTCTTTCTTGTTTTTGGATGTGTGCATTTATTGCAATAAATTGTCCTCTCAGCACAGCTTTCACCATGTCCCAAAGATTTTGGTATGTTGTGTTTTCGTTCCCATTGATTTTGAGAAATTTTGCAAATTCATGTTTGATTTCTTCTACCCAGTTGCTTTTCAGCAGGGTGTTGTTCAGTTTCCATGTATTTGTCTTGATTTCCTTGATATTTCTATTGTTAATTTCTAATTTGATAGCATTGTGGTCTGAGAAGATGCTTTGTAGTATTTTGATATTTGTAAATTTATGGAGACTTGTTTTGTGGCCTAATACATGGTCTATTCTGGAGAATGTTCCATGTGCACTTGAAAAGAAT